GTAGAGATGGGGTCTTACGAGATTGCCTAGGCTGGTCGCAAACTCCTGGGCTGCAGAAATCCTCCCACCTTGGCCTCCCAAAGTGCTAAAATTACAGGCGTGAGCAGCCGTGGTTCTGGTTTTGTTTTGATTTGTGACAGGGTCTAACTCTGTTACCCAGGCTGGAGTGCAGTGGCGTGATCTCGGCTCACTGTAGCCTCAACCTCCCCGGTTCAAGCAATTCTCCCACCTCAGCCTCCTGGGTAGCTGGGAGCAATTCTTGTGCCTCAGCCTCCATGCCCAGCTAATTTTTGTATTTCTTGGTAGAGACGGGGTTTCACCATGTTGGCCAGGCTGGTCTTGAACTCCTGACCTCAAGTGATTTGCCTGCCTCAGCTGCCCCTGATATTTGTTAAGTGCCTACCGCATACCAGCCCTGGGAGGTGAGGCTACAGCAGCACTGGGTGGGCTCTTGTCAAAAGACAATGATTGGGCCCGGCAGGGTGGCTCACGCCTGTAATCTCAGCACTTTGGGAGGCCCAGGCAGGTGGATCACCTGAGGTCAGGAGTTCGAGACCAGCCTGGCCAACATGGTGAAACCCCGTCTCTATTAAAAAAACAAAAACTGGCCGGGCGCAGTGGCTCACGCCTGTCATCCCAGTGCTTTGGGAGGCCGAGGCGGGCAGATCATGAGGTCAAGAGATCAAGACCATCCTGGCAAACACGGTGAAACCCTGTCTCTACTAAAAATACAAAAAAATTAGCCGGGCGTGGTGGCGGCACCTGTAGTCCCAGTTTCTAGGGAAGCTGAGGCAGGAGAATGGCGGGAACCCGGGAGGCGGCGGAGTTTGCAATGAGTGGGGATCATGCCACTGCTCTCCAGCCTGGGCGACAGAGCGAGACTCTGTCTCAAAAAAACCAAAAAATAAAAATTAGCTGGGCGTGGTGGCAGGTGCCTGTAATCCCAGCTACCCAGGAGGCTGAGGCAGGAGAGTCGCTTGAACCTGGGAAGCGAAGGCTGCAGTGAGCTGAGATCGCACCTCTGCACTCCAGCCTGGGCGACAGAATGAGACTCTGTCTCAAAAAAACAAACAACAACGATTGGATGAGAGCGAGTCTGGGGTTGAATCCGGACTTGGCTTCCTTGCTGTGTGTCCTCAGGAGGCTTATCTCCCTCTCTGGGCTTTTGCAAGCCCAGGCTTAGGAGGTGGGGCTGGTGGGTCTTTCACCACGTTTGGCCCTCCTGGGGCTACAGAGTAGGTCTAGGTGGGCAGGAGGGTGCGGAGAGGACTGTCCCGCTCCGTCTTCTGGTCTGCGCCAGGAGGTAATACACTTCCTTCTTCCTGAAACACCTTTCTCTGGCCTTTGATGCTTGGTGAACCCCTGTGCATCCTCGGTGGCCCTGCCTCAATGTCCCCTTCTCCCCAAACCCTTCCTGGTCGCTAGGCAGAGCCTCGTCCCCTCCTGTCCTGGCCGCTGAGGGGACAGGGAAGATTCCACTTTACAGAAGGGGAAACTGGTGTTCAGAGATGAAATCACTTGCCCTGGTTACCCCTAGGGCAAGAGGCAGAGCTGGGATTTGAACCACGTTTGACGGGCGGCAGGGCTCAGTGAACCAGAGCTTGACCTTATCTCCCTCCCACAGGGTCCTGGTGGCAGAGACCACGTCCCAGCAGGAGCGGCTGCAGGCCATCGCAGTGAGTCCCCGCAGACAGTGTGGTCGGGGTGGGGAGGTGGGGGGACCTGGGGTCTCGGGCCTGGGCCTGTCCTAGGACCTGGAACCAGGGCATGGGGGTGGTGAGTTATTTGCTTGGGAAACTTGAGTCCTGCTGACCCGCAGAGAATGAAAGTGGAGACCCCCTGAGTCCGTAGCTCCTGGACCCCCGGCCTCCCTCTGCCTGGTGGGTCAGTGGGGAAACTGAGCCTGGCCTTCCCTGGAGCCTTCTCCTCATCCTGCAGGAAGATAAGCTTTGGTGGGGGGAGCAC